ATATATATATATAGTTTAAAAATTAATATAAGTATTATTTATATTGAAAACTAAAAATTGAGTGATAAGCAAATTCCATGGCTTGAGCGAGCGCTCCGATCACAGCCGATTCAGCCGCTATGTGCGGCTCCGCACCTAATAATAATTAGACCCATGGCTTCGCAACATTTCCGTGAGACTAGTCAAGTGAGCTGCGGCTGCGAGGAGGATTTGTGAAACTTCAATTCGTCGGCTCCACCAAGCAGCCCTCGAATCCACTTAACTCTCTCCCGTTCTTGTTCTCCTCTTTTCCCGGCATTGTAAGGTGGCTCGCAAATGAGGGGCCAGCCCGCTGCGAGATTTACAGGTTAATTGCCAATGTTGATAAGGCCGATAAGGATCAGGGGGCATGCTCCGGCTGATTTTATAATCTACGCGACTTTCTTCCCTTTCCGTTGGTTTGAGGCTTAGGTAAGTTACAAACTCTAATTAGTAGTCAAATGTGTTAGAAATTGGTGTCTGGTCTTATAGCACGACGATTAATTTATGCGAGCTCACTACCTTGCGTGAATTGAGCATGCATTGGTGTGCGGCATCATGTGTAGCTCAAGTGAACTTGGGGATAGAGCCTCAGAAACTTTCTCCTTGGACTTGATTCAAGCGAAAATGAGTGCTTCAATAGCCTCTTGGAAGCAGGAAATAAAGACTAGAAGAGATAAGAAAGCTCATTGAAGGAGTTTATGTTGACAACAGGAAGAAAGTTGAATTACCTCCGGCAACATCTTTAAAAGTTGTGGCTGAAGATGCCTACTCAAGAAATTAGAGATGTTGTAGGGTGAGATAACTTTCTTGAACGTATCAAGATGGTTCTACAGGTTAGTAATGTCTATATAGGGCTCAAGCTAACCACTTGAATTCTCACAAGAAAATGCGTTGCTATGGTTGAAAGAAATGCAAACTCTTGGATGAGGCAAAGGAACATCAAAGGTTGTGATTCTCTTTCATCTGATGGAAAAATGATCGACTTGGTTAGCATTGGAGGCTTGTGCAACTCAGTTAGCTAGGCAATCTGCTGGTGAAGACCTTCCACATTGCAATCAAATATTGTGAGTTATGAAAGCATTTCTCCTGGGCGGTTCTCTAGAAGGGTAACCAATACTAGGTTGGACATGTGAGTTGTCATAAGCACTATTGCGTTGGTGGTTCCCCTCTATTATGACTCCTTTTTGCCTCGAGCAATACTAGACATTCTTATAGACGCCAATAAATGTAAATGGTGGAAATTTGTTTTCTCAAGAGCACTAATAAGGAGTACACGCATTAGAGGGTTTGGAAGGGAAAAAATATAAATATTGGAAAATTATCTTGCTTGGGGAGTCATATGAGGAGAAAAAAGGGAGACATCACGACATAAAGAGGTGAGAAATAAATCTTTAGTGGTTTGTTCGGAAGACCTTTATCCAATTGGGATCACTTGAGATAATTTTTTACTAACGATATTTTAAATGGATGTTTTATAGTTCTCTTTTTTTTATTTTGGCTGTTGATCTCAACTCCAAATGAACCTAAGTCCAAGAAAATATGGGTATTGTTATCCATGGGAATGAAAATTGCGATAGTAGTTTATTTATTTAGTTTTTCATTTTTATGAATGTGTTAGTATTTGGTTACAATGAGAGAAGGATGCAAACAAGATTGCAATAATGAAGGCTTTAGTAATAATAAAAAAAGGCAGAAAGAGGAGAGTTGTTAGCACTGAAGTTTGCTGAATTTAGCAATATATAATGATGAAAGCTGCAGCTATGATAATGCAATGAAAGGCAAAGCATATGGCTCTGATATCATGAAAAGAATTGAAGAAAATTTGTTAAAATTTTCATTTCATTATTTTGTTGAATTTACATAAGTCTAGGAGAAGTCATGCTAGAATGATATATAATTTTGAAAGATTTCCATACATATTGTTGGGTATGATGATGTAAATGTCCCTATATTTGTTTAGGGCTTCGATCCATTAGAATCAAAACCACATTCCACAAAATAAGACTGATTCGAGAAAACTGGAACAAAATATTTGAATGGAAGCACAACAAAGCAATTCCAGAAAGAATGCACCAGAACTTAATGTGAAAAAACCATGAAGTCACACCACCAAGAAATTCTTACTATGGAAATTGAGAAATCATAATACACAGTTTTTTTTTCTCTACAAGCAATGAACTTATAGGCCTTTTCTCAAAACTCTTCTTCTCCATGTCACAAGAGAAATGCACTATGAAATTTTCTTCTCCGACTCTTCTCTCCTTCACGAGAACCTCTGTCGAAGAAATGCAAGCGCGGTCTCCTCTTAGTCGCTCGTAATCAAGAATTTAAAAATTGTTTGGGCCCAGCTGTCCAGGAGCGTGGACACACTGCATATCCATGTAATTTTTTTGCCTGCTCAGAACGAATTTTGGAATTAGTGTGGGTGAGCCGGAAAGCGGCTTGAGGGCACTGTAGACTCTGGCGTGGGTGCGCTCATATGGACATAGGGCATGTTCATATGGATGCAGAGCGTCGCGTGTTCGATCTGCAACCGCAGGCGTTTCATCTAGATGCTAGTGCGCCGCACTTGAAAGCTGTTGGTTTTCAAAACCAAACTTTAAACG